TTCATCATAAATGTATAAAATTTACACTGGAAATTTCCATCTACAAAATCCTTCAACATTATTCTTCAATCAACTGAGATGCCCAAAAATCATCATAATAATATGACCCGACTCCCCCCCCCCGTGCTCTACACTTTTCTTTAGGATCAATTTTGCAATTATTTCAACTCGTAGGATAAACTGGGGGGGTTGTAACCTCTTAATGTTTTCATCCATGATATAAAATACACCAAATCAGCTGTGGGTTTTACATTATCATAAAACGTGTCTAAAATGCATGAAATAGCGTTTCGGAGACCCTAAATAATTGAAACATTTTCCCTGAGGGAGGAATGTGCCCCCCCCTTCCAACACGTTTGGGGCTGCCTATGCCCCTGTCCCCCACAATTACAGAAGCTCCACAATCACTAATAAAATATATAAATAGTTTGGTCTTTGGACGCGTGACATTGATCAGCATAATACTTCATGTTGAAGGTCATTGAAATTTGAAAAGCCAAAATGACAGTGGACATATTAATGCTTGGATTTGAAAACGTACAATGTCAAAAACGATTTTAAATTTACTTTGCCGCAGTATATAAAAAGGTCTTATATTAAAATTGTGTAAAGTACATATCATTCTGTTATGACTGTTCGAAGTTTTGGAAAGCAATTTATAGCAAGGCGAGACACTTATTTTGAGGAGACAGATGGCTCAAGCTACAGTAACAGCACGTTTCATTTTACCGCCGTGAGGCTAAAAACGTACACTTAATTAAAGAGATAAACTTCAGTTCTAAACTATTTTCCCTAGAGGTCCAGCAAGGGTCATCTCTTATATTTTTTCAGGAATACTACTGGAGAAAACCTAAACACAGAAGCATGCTATGTCTTCCTGGGATATTAGCATTTTATGATAATGAAATGTATAGTTCACTTGTATATGTCATTTATGCACTTGAGTACTTCAAATTCATGTGTCATATTTAAACACAACGGTTTTAGTTTTATGTTTAATTCTTCAGAGAAAATCGCTTGAGGATGGAATCTATTTATTTTATCAACCTCGTATTCATATTTGCGGTGAACGTATTCTTCTTTTTCTCAGGAATATGTTTAAATTCCTTCGTCATACTTAGTTTCTGGAGGTCTGTACAACTTCGAAAGAAATTATGTTATTTCATGATCATGGTTTTGTCCTGTTGCGATTTGCTCGCGGTTTTAACTAATACTCCATTGGAGACCTTTATCGCGATGCTATGGTTGACGGGAAAGTTGGACGGAAATGCTAAATGGCTTCATATTTCCTCACGATCGACAAGTATTTTCCTTGGTTTTTCATTATTCGCTCTTTTGGTGATGAATTTCGATCGATATTTGGCGACATCTTATCCTATCTTTCATCGAACGTCGGTAACGAAGGGAAGACTTTTAACTCTTCTTGCAATACTGATCATCGTCGAAGTAACTTTGAAAGTGATGTCTGTAAACGACTTTATTTCCGACCAAGTGTATCTTATAATATTTTCTATTCTTCTCATTCCTGCAATGTTATTTATCAACTACAAACTGCTTCTAGTCGTCAGGAAAAGTCGTAAAAACAACAGAATATCACCCGCTATGAAAAAGACGTTTTCTTTGAAAAACATATCGAGTTGTTTGCTAGCAGTCGCTTGTGTTGTTGTGATCTCCATTCCAACGGGCGTGTACATTGGACTAAGAATAAACTCGCCAGAAACAGCATATACTTTGGATAATGCCAACCTTGCAGGAATGTGGGCCCAAACCATAGCTTTGATGAATTGTACATTTAACTGTTTAATCTTTTACTGGAAAAACAAGGTGTTACGTACCGAAGGACTGAAAGTTCTGAAAAGCCTGAAAATATGTCGACGGGTTGAATCCTAGCTGCACTAATAACCATTCTTCCAAAAAAATGTAACGCTCGAAGGAAACTCACTAACAATATCTTGGTCATAGTAAATGTGAACACAACAAATTGTACACTTATATTGTTCTATATATTAATACGCATATAATCACTATAAGAAAGACAGTAGCTGTAACTGCATGGGGTATATAAGATACTGCTATGCTTGTAATTTCATCCATTCCTGATGATGATTAAAATATAGTGAATAAAATGTAGAAAAATAAAAATACTTTCATTTCTTTATTTAAATTATTTCATTATATAACAGGTGTAGAAAAATTTGCCGTGTTATTGTGCGTTAAGTATTGAGTATGTACAGATTTAATTTTTCCATCCTAATGAAGATTAGGCCTAGGCCTTTAACTATCGAATGAGACATTTTTTTGTATCATTGCGTTCAAAACTGAACTGACACGACCAATTTAAAATGGCCGATTTTTCTGCCGTTTCATGATAATTGCAAACGCGTATGCCTGAGTGTTGAAATCATTCTCTGAAAGAATAGTCAAACTTTAAAAGAATAACAAGGAATAGCGGTCAAAAGAATACTCAAATAATCTCTCATATACAGCGACCTCCATTTGGGCAAATGTTTGAAACTTCTGAGAATATTTTGCGGCAGCGCTAGCAGAGGTAGAAAAATTTGTTTTCGACAGTCGAACATGTATATATGACCATCTGCTCGCCATCACGGAGCATTGCCATTGGTCGAAACATTTAGAAAGTAGTATATTCTATAATTACTTCCTTTTGTGAGTTGATTTAGAATAACATATAGACATATAGTTTTAATGTAAAAATCGAAAGCGAGGCGCGAGCTTGTATTACTTTTTATTTCCTAATTAATGACTCGACGAAACGTGCTCTTTCGCTTGGGCCACTTGTACTTTCAAAACAAACTTTCATTTACATGCCTCACCATCGCACCTGTTCTCAAGTTGTTTTCGAAAAGGCGAAACTGCGTTTGCAAACTAATAAAATATGTTGAACGAGAACTGCAGTATAGATAATTTTGTTCTGTATACAACTTTAAAATATCACATTTTTATACGGCTAGCAAAAAAATAAATTAAAAATAAATTATAAAAATTAATAGCACGTTTGAAATTCATACAATAATAATACAAAAATTTCGATTGTAAATTTTATACATTTATTGAGACCCAAACAGGAGCAGCAAAATGCAACTACAGGGTGTATAAAAAAACTGAACAGATTTGAATTTGCTCTCAATTTCGCAAAACAGCTATTAGTATCCAGTTTTTGATGTAATATATGAACAACGAGAGCGAGTGTTTCACCGGGATATCCAAACACGAGAAAACAATGTATGAGAACACGAGCGCGAAGCGCGAGTGTTTTTATACATTGTTTTCGAGTGTTTAGATATCCCGGTGAGACACGAGCTCGAGTTGTTTATATGGCTTCTCAAATGAATCGAGACGTAACAGAATGTTTTCGTTTGCTGATTTGAATAGAATTCTTAACCAAGCATAACGTAATTAGGAATTGTATTCAAGTAATTTTGCATGCGTAATTAAGATATTTGATGAAAACACTAGTGACTTTCATCAAGTATCCAAATGGCATCTTGTGATCAAATAGGTGATTATCATTGGCTAATTTACTCATGAATTATTAATGAATTTGAGAAGTAATATATGAACAACGAGAGCGAGTGTTTCACCCGGATATCCATGTGAGACACGAGCTCGAGTTGTTTATATGGCTTCTCAAATGAATCGAGACGTAACAGAATGTTTTCGTTTGCTGATTTGAATAGAATTTTTAACCAAGCATAACGTAATTAGGAATTCTATTCAAGTAATTTTGCATGCGTAATTAAGATATTTGATGAAAACACTAGTGACTTTCATCAAGTTTCACCGGTTATCCAAATGGCATCTTGTGATCAAATATGTGATTATCATTGGCTGAATTGCTCATGAATTATTAATGAATTTGAGAAGTATATAGCTTCTTTGAGTACTTATAATGTAGAATAATGAAAAAAATTCTCGAACTCAAATTTTGTGAAACAGGGGGGGGGGGTGTCTTTTCCAACAAACTAAAAATGGCTTGCGCACGAAATTTAAAAGCTTTAATCATATTTTGAGCTAATAGATGGAACATTTGTTGGGTTTTTAATTACTGTACAAAATTTCAGACAATTTGCTTTAGTTTAAGCCCTTGAACTATTCACGCAAACTTACATTTTTTCCTAAAAATCAGCTATTTGCATGCTTAATTAATGCCTTTGCCTAATTTGCATATGTCAGCAATATGCAAATTAGGTAAAGGCATTGATTAAGCATGCGAAAGGCCGATTTTTTAGGATAAAATGAATAGCTAAAGGGCTTAAACTAAAGCAAATTGTCTGCAATTTTGTACAGTAATTAAAAACCCAACAAATTTTCCGTCTATTAACTCAAAATATGATTAATTTGAAGCTTTTCAATTTCGTGCGCAAGCCATTTTTAGTTTGTTGGAAAAGATACCCCCTCCCTGGTTGACAAAATTTGAGTTGGAGAATTTTTTTCCATTATTCTACATTATAGTACCCAAAGAAGTTATATACATCAAAAACTGGATACTAATAGCTGTTTTGCGAAATTAAGAGCAAAATCAAATCTGAAATCTGCTGTGTTGGTGTAATGTACTCAGGTGAATAAGATGTTTGTGTGATGTTACTCTGAGTGTATATCCACACCGGGCAGGCTTGAAAAATATGCCTGGCCACGGCGGGATTCGAACCTACGACCTTTGGAATACTAGCCCAATGCTCTTCCAACTGAGCTATGCAGTCAGGACGGTTCGAGTAAGCGATATTTCGGAACTGAGTCTAGTTCCTTCGATATCAGTGTAATCTAATATTTATCAAATCTGCTGTGTTGGTGTAATGTACTCAGGTGAATAAGATGTTTGTGTGATGTTACTCTGAGTGTATATCCACACCGGGCAGGCTTGAAAAATATGCCTGGCCACGGCGGGATTCGAACCTACGACCTTTGGAATACTAGCCCAATGCTCTTCCAACTGAGCTACGCGGTCAGGATCCCGCCGTGGCCAGGCATATTTTTCAAGCCTGCCCGGTGTGGATATACACTCAGAGTAACATCACACAAACATCTTATTCACCTGAGTACATTACACCAACACAGCAGATTTCAGTTCTAAATTGTTCCTTTTAAAATGGCAAGTATAAGGAGCAACCTTTATTGTCAAATTATCGGTTCAGTATTACTACAGGAGGAAACTAACTAACTTTAATTATACTGGATATAGCTCTATCAGTTCTGAACTGTACTCCTTAGATGTCCAGTAAGAATCATCTCTTATTGATCCATTGTTACCACAGGAGTAACACTAAACTAAACTCAAGCCTGGTTTATATATGCCTGCGAACTCTATCAGTTATAAACTGTTCTTCCTAGACTATATATTTTCAGGTAGTTGCATCCCTACCAACGAAAGCTCATTCAGCAAGCATCATCCTTGATTAATAGACAATTCCCATTATAGACTAATTTTAAAACTAGGCAAGGAGATGCAAATAAATCACCACAGCTAGAAAAAGCATACTAAAATTAGTAAAATTACAAAATTTGGTTGCGAAATGTTGTAAAATGTGAAAAATATAGCCTTGCAAAGTTTGCAAATTTTGTATACTTTTGTATTGCGTGCGACATTTTCGGCCTAAATGTGGTAGGAATGTGGTAGGAATTTCCGCAAGCAATACAAAAGTATACAAAATTGGCGAACTTTACAAGGCTATATTTTCCTCATTTTACAACATTTCGCAACCAAATTTTGTAATTTTACTAATTTTAGTATGCTCTTTCTAGCTGTGCTGATTTATTCGGGTTTCCTTGACTAATTTTAAAATTAGTCTATAATGGGAATTGTCTGTTTCCATCTACAAAATCTTTCAACACCATTGTTCAATCAACTGAGATGCCCAAAAATCCTAACAATAATATGATCGGACACCTCCTTCCCCCCGTGCCCCACACTTTTCTTCAAGATCAATTTTGTAATCCTTCGAAATTGAGGAGAAACTAGGGCGGGGGCTGTAACCTCTTATTGTTTTCATCCATGACATAAAATATACCAAATCTGTGGCTTTCAGAAGATTATCATAAAACGTTCTAAAATGCATGAAATAGCGTATCGGGGTCCGGAGACCATAATTATTGAAAGGTTTTCCTGGAGACCATGTCCCCTCCCTCCCACACATTTGGGGGTGCTATGCCCCTGTCCCCTACATAGATATCTTATATACACTAGATAGCGCGTCTCTTTTAGTACAATTGAAGCCAAGAATATTCCAGCGGTTACCCCCATTTGAATAGATGGCGGCCATGTTGGTAGTTCCCACTCGCTAATAAACGCTTAAAAAAACAACAATAACTTTCATCATTTGAATAGTTTAAAAATGTATTTGGAGTAGGTTTAACTTAATGTTTAGGTTCCCTGTTTAAGAAATAGAAAACATACGAGTCTTCTCATTTCATGGGAATATCCTGAGTCTGCAATCACGGCTTCAATTTTTGAATTGCAGAATAATTATAGATGCACTATCTAGTGTATATATAAGATGTCTATGGTCCCCCACAATTACAGAAGTTCCCCCATCACTAATAGAGATATAAATAGCGTGTTCTGTGGACTTGACGTTGATCTGCATAATACTGCTGTCGAACCTTGTCGCCCGATTATGTTATTTTCCGGTTTTAAATTGCGAATTAAATTGTTTTAGGCATCTGAAAGGTGCTTTTGTCTTTCGGAAATAGGTTAACACCATATATTGTTGCCTCTTTTGCTTTTAGAGGACTAGTATATTAGTATGTTCTTTAATTTCTTCAATTTTTTCTTCGATGATTTGTTTGCAAGTGGATTTTCGGCAGCCATTTTGTTTTGAAAGCAACAGTGAATAGTTATTGCTCAGAGTTACTGCTGAGGGAGCCAATCAGAATGCTCGAAAGTCATTTTTCAATACTGAATTTATACTAAATATGTACAGTCCATTCCATCTAAATAAAACCTATCTACTATTAATTCTATAGAGCGAAATGCCTCAAAATCTCGATATTTCTACAGCATTTTCTAACATTTTGTGAAACGTTTAGAATAAGGTATTAAATCATCTTTTAACTTATCTCTGTTGGGTTTGGCTATATCCCCATGAAATTTAACGGGATGTATAAATTTAATACCATAAGTATAACTTTCCCAAACTAATTTTCCATCGGCAAAATTACGAAAGCCGTACTTGTCCGGCAGATACAACCCAAAATGTTTTTCCCATGAGCTTCGTAAATCTAGGAAACTCAAAATGGTCGGAACTGCAGCTTCCAAGAACACTCGATTTTTATGAAACACAAAAGAGATCCGCTGAAACTGATCACTGAACCTTTTGGGTACATAAAATATGTCCGACCACGTCTTTAGACAACGCTTTTCCCCTTCGCCATTAACAAGATGTGTTTCTACCAATTTCGTGATGTTTAAAAATTCATTTGAGCGATATTGCTGCGTGATTTCTGAGTACGAGTCTTCGCAAGCCTTTGCAGAATTACTCCACTTGCTCTGCCAAAACCAATTATCTGGTATTGCTTTTTTCCCCATGATATGAGTTGTATCTATCCAAATATCCGCACCTAGCCAAATTTTCTCCTTATCAAGTTTGTAAAATGTCCACCAGTTCACAAGCACGTCGTCATTTATGTACAAGTAGCCACGGTAATCAGGATATCTAGAGATATAACAACAGTATAGTTTTATATAGTATTTAGTATTAAAATTAATTTAGTAGATCTAAGATTTTGTTGTAAATAACACCTACACTGAAGATTTTACCGTATTTAAAGGGATAAGGCAATAAATAATTAACTTTGTCTGATTTGAAAGAACTTTTAAAATTATATATGAAGACCTTTTAAAACTTTTTCGTGTGTGTATGTGTGTGTGTTTGTCTGTGAGCACGATAACTCAAGAAATACTAAGGAAGAACTGATTAAAATTTGGTTGAATTTGGTTAAAAATTGAACAAGAAATGAACAAAATTTTGTCTTGCTTTTCCCGATCAATTAAAAAAAACTCACTGAATGCGTAATTAGGACTTGTATAATGTATGCACGCAGTACTAAGAAGACAATTTAATGAGATGATAAACCTCATTAAGCTTCAGCCTTCATTATCTATTGTCTTAGTTGCATTTCACACGACCGAAATTCAATGGGGGCGGAGGTATGCAGTCTCTGAGTGCCCTCTAGTTAACTGAGTTTTTGATGACGTCACAAGTAGGGTAAACTTGTCAAAACTTGTTCATGCATGTGGGAATAATTCTTAAAATGTTGTGGGTTAATTAAGTAGCTACGTAAACGACTTCGGAAAATGAAGTTTCATATTGATAATGACATGTGGTTTGCAAGATAAAAAATTCCTTTTTACCCTGCTTGTATGCATATCGAATGCGTATCCAAGATGGCGGAATGCACGCCACTTTTGATCAAAATAAGTCGATTATTTCGAAAAAAAGTTTATACATAGAGAATAATACATGGGTGCTTGGAAATACCAGATTTATTTCGTGTGTTGAACATGATGTCTCACGAGTGAGCGAAGCGAACGAGCGAGATATCTTGTTCGACACGAGAAATAAATCTGGTATTTCCAAGCACCCATGTATTTTTCTGTTTATTATATAAAGAACAGTCTTTGAAAAGCGATAATTTTTACAGAAAAGCGATAATTGAAAAGCGATACTTTTCACATGTGAGATTATCATGAATAATCTCACATGCGAGATTATCACTTTTATCATGCAGTGCTCGAAACCTCTATTAAGCACTATACTTTATATAAAGGCCTGATGCCACGAGCGCTTTTTGTCAGCGAAATGCGAAATATTTCGCCTGTTTCTTTTGAATTGCGACCACTCGAAAAATTATTTCTACTTGATTGCTCACAATTCAAAAGAAACAGGCGAAATATTTCGCATTTCGCTGACAAAAAGCGCTCGTGGAATCAGGACTTAATAAATATAGTTTATATATAATTTAGAAGTTTATGTACTGTTTAATAAACGAGCAGGAGTGTTTTATTAGGTTTAAAGACACGAGCGCGCAGCGCGAGTGGCTTTAGACCTAATAAAACACGACCTGCGAGTTTATTAAACGGCTTCAAACACGACTACAAATTCAATATAGATATACTGCTTTATTAGTATTCTTTATATAAAGAATACTAATTAGGAGTGTTTAAAGCCACTGCACGTGACATATTATGGTTGACATGATTTGCCAATAAGCTTATGAATTATTAATGAGTGTTTGAAAACTATTTCAAAAACTCATTAATAATTCATGAAGCAATTATCCAATCTTGAGTAAGAAATTAGTCACGTGCTTACGTCTTTATACCAACTAAAGAACACTTTAACAAAAGACCATTGTTATGCAAACTATATAAAGATTTTTATATAAAGATTTTTATATAAAGATTTTTATATCAAGATTCTTATATAAAGATTTGACTTATTATGCAAACGTTTTTGAAGCCATTTAAAAAACTCACAGGTCGTGTTTTATTAGGTCTAAAGCCACTCGCGCTGCGCGCTCGTGGCTTTAAACCTAATAAAAACTCCTGCTCGTTTTTTAAATAGTACATAAACTATATATATAAACTATATAAACTGTATATAGTTTATATAGTTTATATATAATTTTAATTTATAGTTTATATATAGTTTATATATAATTTTGAAGTTTATATATAATTTTAAATGTTCTTTCAAATAAAACAAACTTAATTTACATTGCCACATCATGTTAAATAAATGTTCAATATACCTGCGTATAGCCTCGCCAACACATTCATAACCGTAGTGTCCTTGGTGAATATCAACCACCATTATATGATGATGGGAATAGGTCTCTGAACCACAAATCACAATGTTTTTAAATGCATCTTGATAAAATGACTTAAGTAATGGAATGGATTCGTAGAATGGAAAATGGTAAATAATAATTAATAGGATATCTTCAAAGTAGTTCTTTAGACATTCACCAGATCTTGTGTCATTAGGATTATGGTACGTCACATTATTTGATTCCTTGAAAAACTGCAGCTGGTGACGATGTGTGTACTGTACCGCCTACAAAAGTATGAACGGATAGAAATTATCACATATCCTGTACTACTAAAAATAGGGCAATCATTTCATTATCTGTATTTTCTTGTTTGTTTCTCCCATCTGCAATGCGAAATTGGCCATGTTTTTGTTAATAAAATTTAAATTGAAGAAGATGAAGATCCGGGCTTACAGATCGAAAGCTTTGCAGTAATAAATTTACGTGCATTGTGTTTCCACAAACAAAACATATTAAAATTTCAATTGTTCGCCATTATTGCGACTACGCTACGTGGAAACACTGACGCTGCTCCTATCTGACCATATATGGACAGTAAAAGTATTCGCAACTGTCATGAATACCGTAAACCTCCGACTATAAGCCCCCCCCGAATATAAGCCCCCCCCGTGTATAAGCCCACCACATGCACTGACGCTCACCCATTGAACTATAAATAAACTGGAAGGCTAACTCAGGGGGGGGGGATTGAAGCCAGTGCATTTTAGTTTTTCTGAGTTATGAGCAGAAATACTCAACACTGAACGTTGGGCTATATATCAAATTGAAGCTATTGAAAAACGCTATTTGGTGTAGAAATTTCAAGACTTTAGCTAAAAGGGAAATATTGAAAAACTAAAAACATAATTACCGATAATTTGCCGTTTTGCAGTTGTTTTTGTATTTTTTAAATATTTTTCTTTTCGCTGAAGTCTTGAAATTTCCACACCGAATAGCAATTTTCAATAGCTTCAATTTGATATATAGCTCGACGTTTGAGGTCAAGTATTTCTGCTCATAACTCAGAAAAACTATTTTGGCTTCATCAAATCATAGGCCTTCATCATAGCAGTTAGCCTTCCAGTTTATTTATAGTTCAATGCGCTCACCTCATTCCAAATATAAGCCCCCCCCCCGAATATAAGCCCACTCGAATATAAGCCCCCCGAATATAAGTCCCCCAATTAATACAAGCCCAGTAATCGCTGCTTAATACACGTTTATTTCCCTGTTTATGACTGACTTGTTTATGTCTGACTTGTTTATTACTAACACAAAAGATCGTCCATGTATAAGCCCACCCGTATATAAGCCCCCCCCCCTGTATAAGCCCATCAAAAATCGCTTACGAAAGTATATAAGCCCAGGGCTTATACTCGGAGGTTTACGGTATGATTGCATTAAATACAAGTTTGGTTTACGATTAGTACACAAGGTTTACGATTAGTGTACTAAAGTTAGACAGATCTAGATAGATAGAAAACTTTATTTATCCACGCTAACCCTGTCAACCGAGGCTGATTTCCATAGGGAGCGTGTAAAAAGGAATTACAAAAATATAGTATTTAAAGCTATTTACAATCTATAGTATCGACTAAGTTATATAAACTATAAGTAAGTCATGTATATATTTACAAGTTTTTTTTAGGTTTTCAGTTTCTTAGGATCTTGTTTTAGTTAAAGAATGTGAGTAACAATTTTATTTTGAAAACATGACAGGGATTTGCTTTCCCTAATTTCATTTGGAATAGAGTTCCATAAGTGAACACCGTTATACATGAAACTATTTTTCATGTTATTGGTTCGAGGTTGTGGTAAACAAAGACCACTTGAAATGTCCCGAAGTTTGTAATTTGTCATCCCACTTTTATAGGTGAAAAGGTCTGTGAGTGACTCAGGACCCATTTTATTCAAAACTTTGTACATTAGTTTTGCTTTTGCCTTTTCTCTTATTGACTGAAGTGGCTCCCAGCCGAAAGTCTGCAAAGCAATAGTGTGATTTATATCGTTGCTCATACTCATGATAATTCGAGCAACTCTATTTTGAAGTTTCTGAAGTCGTTTTGACTGTGTTTCAAAAATTTCTGAAGTCGTTTTGATTCTGTGGCAAAAATATCAATAAAAAATATTGAAATTGGTATCAATATATAAAAGATAATTAATTATCTTATTGCTGCATGCTTGGTCTCACAATGTGTGAAGCAATGTTACCTTTATGGTACGTCACACTATTTGATGGCTTGAAAACTGCAGCTGGTGACGATGTATGTACTGTAACGCCTACAAAAGTATGAATGGATAGGATTGCCATTATATCCTAATAGTGAAAACAGGGCAATCACACAACAATACCAAAATTTTCTTGATTTTCATTATAATCTGTATTTTCATGTTTGTTTCTCCCATCTGTAATCAGAAATTGGCCACGTTTTATTAATGAAATTTAAATTGTTCGCCATTTTTAAGTTCCTGCGCATGCGCAGACGTTTCTTACGCTGTTGTTGTTCAACCGTAAACTTAAAAAAGTATCACGGAAACACTGACGCTGCTCCTATCTGACCATATATGGACAGTAAAAGTATTCGTAACTGTCCTGGATATGGTTGCATTAAATACAAGTTTGGTTTACGATTACGATTGGCGTAACAATTGTGACAACAATTGTGAAAACAATTGTGATATTAATTTCTTTATTATTAGCATGACAAAATTACTGGATGCTGATTGGTTGAGAGGAGTACTCCATTATTTCATTAATTGTACTGCAGTACAATTAATGATTTTCTCAAAACAAACAAAATGGCGGAAAGGTATTTTAAGCCCCGTTTACACTACGCTCAATTTTTGGTACGGCAGGGATAAAATTGGTACCCGTACCACTTTTTTGGTTTTTGGACTACCTATTTAGCCAAGCCCCGTTTATACTACGCTCAATTTTTGGTACCGTACCACTTTTTGGTTCTTGGACTACCTAAATAGGTGGTCCAAGAACCAAAAAAGTGGTACGGGTACCAATTTTATCCGTACCGTACCAAAAATTGAGCGTAGTGTAAACGGGGCTTTAAACACAATTGCGAAATGAAATTGCCGTGAAGGAACTAGATAAAATACGAACAAAAGCACCAAATTTTGCTTGAACAAAAGAACTAAATGAAAATACAAACAAAAGCACCAAATTTTGGTTGAAAGTCTGGCAGGACTGATGGGCTTTGGCGAGAGAATACGATGTTGACATTGAGAAGTACGTATCCAATTTTGTCATGCTAATAATAAACACGGCGGCTCGTCCAATTTTGGCAAATTTTCCAAACATCACTCGTACTATTAATCTCTAATTGTACTCGCCATCGCATGATTACCTATACAAATAATGACTTTAGTCCATCATTGTGATTAGCAACAGCCAAATATGATCCTATTTACAGGGGTATGGCAATATAAATTAAGTTTTTCTTATTTGAAAGAACATTTCAAATGATATATAAACTTCCTTTACAATTATTCCGTATCTTGCTTGGTTTTCGAAATAAAATCGACTTATTTTGATCAAAAGCAGCGTGCATTCCGCCATCTTGGATATGCATTCAATATGCATACGTCACAAGTAGGGTAAAAAAGCGAAACTGTTATCTTGCAAACCACATGTCATTATCAACATGAAACTTGATTTTCCGAAGTCTTTTTAGTACTCAATTAACTCACAACATTTTAAGAAAGGTTTCGAAGAAATTTAGTCCCACATAAAGAAGTTTTAACAAGTTTACCCTGCTTGTGACGTCATCAAAAACTCAGTTAATATCAAGATGGCGGACTGCACACTATTTTTTGGTCAAAATATTTCGACAACCAAGCGACGTACGAAAAAGTTGTAAAGGGACTAAAGGGTCTTCATATATAACTTTAAAAGTTCTTTTAAATAAGACAAAGTTAATTTTTATTGCCATACCCCTTTAATTAAATCCATTTGAGAATACAGTCTACTTGGAGAACGCGTTGCGCGAAATTACTGGATAATATTTTCAAAAATATGAGTAATCAATTTGTTGGATGGTAACATTGGGGTTATATGGTGTGATATGTTAACAATCTGGGAGGACAGTTTATTTGCACTTAAGTATAGCAATAAATATCAATAAAATCAACACATAATCATATTAATATGTTGAACGATAGCAAAAACTTTTAAATAACTTCCCATGCACAAAATGCGATTCAATTGTATTTAAGCATCCACGGGCTCAGTATAAGACTCAAACATTCAAATTAAACAATAAGGTGATTTTCTAAAGGTTCACTTTGAAACACCATGTATAACATTATTTTAAAGGATTACCTTTCAGTTTCACTAAGAAGAGAAATGAGCAAACAGCTATCAACAGACAGCCAAATATCAGAAATAGGTTCTTGTATTTGAACAGTTTCACACCATATGTTAACATCTTCATTCTGAAAGTACAGTATAATGAAAGCAATTATAGCTTTTAATTCTCGCTTTGATATAACTGCAGGTTAACCCCCATCGGCAAAGCAAACTTTTCACCTTACCCGGTGTGGTCACATGCCCTCAGAGCAACATCACAAACAGACACGTAGGATTGGTACTGTCAATTTGTGTTTTATTATTAATGATAACTGTACTTATCACAGGAAATTTATGGTCGACTATCTTTATCACAGGGAACTTATGTTTTCCTTTAAGACTGATGTAGTTAATTACGTTTTTGCATGGAAAAAGTACGCTTTAGCCCCGGAACTTGGCAGAATAGTTTGAGACACTCGTAAAGAGAGGACAGTCAGAGAGAGATAATTTAAGTCAAAAGTTAAATAGCTACTGGGGAAACATCTGTAAGTGACAATTGATTTGTATATTGTAGTTTATTGTTTAGTTGCGCGGTAGTGCTAAGTTAAGTATTTAGTATTAATTTAGGTTTACATTCAGTTCCATTTAGTCAGGGATGGATCCAGCATGATTTGGTAGGGGGGGGGGGGAGGGGGTGCTCTGGTGCCGAGTTGTGTCGGTCATGTGTGCCGCCCGCCCATCAACTTGCTTCACTACTGCAAAGTCTTACTTGACTACTGTATTTGAATTGCAATTGTTGTTCACATTTTGCTTATCATCATGTTATTACTCAAATTACTGTATCTCATTTTGTCTCTAATAATTTTTTGCTTATCATGAAAAATAGCACCCGCCCTACACCCCCTCTGGTCAGGGCTAGGGGGGTGCACCCCCCCCCCAGTAAATCCATCCCTGCATTTAGTCGAACAACGTTACACGTTATAGTTTCGAGTTTATATTACAAGTTTTGGTTTATTTATTTCGTTGCCTTTGGCAAATTGGTAATCTGCACGACCCTTTTCTACGTGCGTTTGAACTGTTTTCCTAACGTTACCTCAGTATCGTTTTAAAATGTGCTCACCCGTGAGCTTTATCACATCTTGGTTTCACTGTGCATGTCAATGGTGTTAGGGCTTACAAGACATGTGACAAGCTTTAAATTGAAATAAATAATTGAGTAAATATAAACAGCCAAAGCCTGGTTTCTATACCGTTGTAACTGTCGCGAACATGTCGTCAACGTGTCGTGAAGTGTTTGTCGTGAATGATTTTTATGCTTGTTTCCCCATATGGTTGTAACTGTCGCAAGTTAATTTCGTACCCAGGGATCGCACAAGAAGCTGGCGGCAGTTGTAAAAAGACAAACACGGTCCCCTCAAAGAGGAACTTTGCCCCGCCCCGCTGATTGTTGCAAAACTGTTGCCACGCTGTCGTTTTTCTGTTTCCGATAAAAAACTCACGACACGTTTTTAGCCTGTCGCAACTGTGGACGAGATAGAACTCGAGTCCATCTATCAGCAGTCAGCACTGAACATCAGTTGCCAGCATGTCGCGACAAGACCTTTTTTCATGTTTCCATTTGGTCGCGAAGACTACTCTGACGACAGTTACAACATGTTCGTATACGTTCAAATAAGTCACGGTGCACGATTTAGCAAAATCACATTATTTTCCTAGTGATAGATTACAGTATAATTGTAAACGAAAGGTTGTTCAAGCAGCAATAATAGAGAGTTTAAGCTTCGCGTTATACGTCAAACAGCAAACGCCAGGCAGAGAAAATTTTTTTAAAATTAAACTGCAATGCATAATTATTCTTTCGACGCAAGAAAGAAAATATGAAACGAAAATCTTCAACGAAAATTTTGCCAAGAAAGTTCGAACCTGCCGTTTGCCGTTCCCGGAAACGTGAAGCTTAAAATCCCTAATAATCTTCTTGAACTACGAGACCTTCTCGAACAACATTTGAGTTTCTTTAACCGGTGTTTGAACGTTCGTTTAATTAATATTAGGATGTTAGGGTTTGTTATCCAAGTGAGAATATATATATTTTAAGACCTAACCAGGAACGACTGCGAAAAATGCAGCACAAGGTCCTCTGGTAGGAATCGAACCTACGGCCCTGCGATTCCGGTGCAGCGCTCTAACCAACTGAGCTACAGGGGCCAGCTGTTGAGCTGTAACCGTAAGTTCTAGCCTAGTCGTGTATTTCAATACACCAAAATCATCCCGCCTTCCATCCCGTCCCGGCAACAAGTGTTTACATGGAAGAAAACGTCCCGGCTGAGTTTGGTTTGTTGCACAAACCGAGATCCCGCTTGCCCGGGACGAAAAACGTCCCGCTTCCATATAAACATCTGGTGATAAATATAATAGAAATTTATATACAAGCCAGGATCCCGTTCATGATCCCGTCCCGGCAAACGTCCCGTCCCGCCCCTCACATAAACAGCCCCTTAGAAATTTGCTAATTCCCGACCCCGGGGCAACGCTGAAAATTCTAAGTACAAGAACAATCAGTACAGACATTTATAGTCAAATTTATTTAATGATTTGCAAAGGTGTATTTAATTTCCTGACTCTAAATAATGTAGAATTGTCTAATTTAATTCAGATGAACTTAATTGCAGCCTAACCACGCACTAACAAACTCTGGCGACTTGCTAAACAACAATTCTTTTAAATTCTTCAAAATTTTCGTCGCCATTTTGAAATTTTGATATTTAGTTACCAGGCTCCTACTATCTTCTCTTCACTGGACCCCCGCCCTATACCCCCGGTGATAAATCTGTTTAACAATTCCCCACCCCCGGGATGTATTCGTTTGCATTGTCCCCGGGGTTGCCCGGGGGGGGGGGTGAATTCACTCATGAATAAATTATATAAAGACGTGATTGCTCAGTCGAGCCAGCCGAAAACTTCATGTCTATCGAGTGTTTATTCAACATTTCATCTATAGATTTTAGTCATCATCAAGAATGATGAAATTACAGATATACTTTAAAAAAAAAATCGTCCGTTATCGTCCGTTGTCCAGTCTTGTGGATAAAATGTGTTGTAAATAACATAATGTTTTTTTTTGTTTTGTATATATATATATATATATAAATATCTCCTTCTGCCGTATAGTGCTCTACACCAAAGTGGAGCTAAGTTAAAATTAAAAATTAAAGATTAAAACCTAAGAATGTTCATTAAAAATTGAAAAGCACTATAACAACTGTAGTGCTTTTCAATTTTTAATGAACATTCTTAGGTTTTAATCTTTAATTTTTAATTTTAAATATATATATATATATATATATAAATATATATATATATATATATATATAT